AGGTCAGGAGTTCAAGACCAGCCTGGCCATCATGGTGAAACCCCATCTTTATAAAGAATAAAAAACAATTTAAAAAAAAAGAAAAAACAAAAAAAGAATCAAATGCAGAGGATTCTAACCAGGAGAAGGGCCTTGGAGTTAAGTTGAACTCTTAAGTCAGATTGCCTGGCTCTAAAGCTCGGTTCCACTACATGTGGTCCAGGAACTTAAGGCAAATTATTTTAATCTTTTATGTTTCACTATTGGCAGTTGTGAAGTAGAAAATACCTACCCGGCCGGGCGCGGTGGCTCACGCCTATAATCCCAGCACTTTGGGAGGCCGAGACGGGCAGATCACGAGGTCAAGAGATCGAGACCATCCTGGTCAACATAGTGAAACCCCGTCTCTACTAAAAATACAAAAATTAGCTGGGCATGGTGGCGCGTGCCTGTAATCCCAGCCACTCAGGAGGCTGAGGCAGGAGAATTGCCTGAACCCAGGAAGCGGAGGTTGCGGTGAGCCGAGATCGCGCCATTGCACTCCAGCCTGGGTAACGAGTGAAACTCCGTCTCAAAAAAAATAAATAATAATAATAATAATAATAATAATAATACCTACTCATGGGTCGAGAGATCGAGACCATCCTGGTCAACATGGTGAAACCCCGTCTCTACTAAAAATACAAAAAATCAGCTGGGCATGGTGGCACGTGCCTGTAATCCCAGCTACTCGGGAGGCTGAGGCAGGAGAACTGCTTGAACCCAGGAGGCAGAAGTTGCGGTGAGCCATTGCACTCCAGCCTGGGTAACCAGCGAAACTCCGTCTCAAAAAAAAAAAAAGAAAAGAAAAGAAAAAAAGAAAATACCTACTCATGAAGTTGTGAGGAGGTAGTTAAAAAATATGTAATAGGTCAGGTGCGATGGTTCATGCCTGTAATCCCAGCACTTTGGGAGACCTAAGTGTATCACCTGAGGTCAGGAATTCAGCACCATCCTGGCCAACATGGTGAAACCCCGTCTCTACTAAAAATGCAAATAATTAGCTGGGTGTGGTGGCCAGCGCCTGTAATCCCAGCTACTCCAGAGGCTGAGGCAGGAGAATCTCTTGAACCCGGGAGGCAGAGGTTGCGTTGAGTCGGTATCAGGTCACTGCACTCCAGCCTGGGCAACGTAAGAAAAACTCCATCTCAGAAAAACAAACAAAAAAAAAGAATAGAAAGCATCATAGGTGATTTTGATAGCACTAATGAATCTATCAAGGAGCTAATGGAGGACTCTTTTTTTCTTTTCTTTTCTTTTCTTTTTTTTTTTTTGAGACAGACTTTCGCTCTTGTTACCCAGGCTGGAGTGCAATGGCGCAATCTCGGCTCACTGCAACCTCCGCCTCCTGGGTTCAGGCAATTCTCCTGCCTCAGCCTCCCGAGAAGCTGGGACTACAGGCACGCGCCACCATACCCAGATAATTTTTGTATTTTTAGTAGAGACGGGGTTTCACCTGGTTGACCAGGATGGTCTCGATCTCTTGACCTCATGATCCACCCGCCTCGGCCTCGTAAAGTGCTGGGATTACAGGCGTGAGCCACTGCGCCCAGCTCTTTTTTCTTTTGATAAGGAATCTTCCTCTGTCCTCCAGACTGGAGTGCAGTGGCGCAATCTCGGCTCACCGCAACCTCCGCCTCCTGGGTTCAGGCAATTCTCCTGCCTCAGCCTCCTGAGTAGCTGGGATTACAGGCACGCGCCACCATGCCCAGCTAATTTTTTGTATTTTTAGTAGAGACGAGGTTTCACCATGTTGACCAGGATGGTCTCAATCTCTTGACCTCGTGATCCACCCGCCTCAGCCTCCCAAAATGCTGGGATTACAGGCTTGTGCCACCACGCCCAGCCCTGTATTTTTACTAGAGATCAGATTTTGACATATTGGCCGGGGTGGTCTAGAACTCCAGACCTCAGGTGATACTCCCGCCTTGGCCTCCCAAAGTGCTGGAATTAGAGATGTGAGCCACCACGCCTGACCGTAACCTTTTCCTTCTTTTTTTTTTTTCTCTTTTTTTATAGAGATGGGGTTTCTCCATGTTGGTCAGGCTGGTCTTGAACTCCGAACCTCAGGTGATCTGCCCACCTCAGCCTCCCAAAGTACTGGGATTACAGGCGTGAACCACCGCACCCATCCACCATAACCCTTTCTTAATTGGAAATGATCCAGATATTAAATGAGCATTAAAAATAACTTTAAGGCCTGATGCCTGGCTCATGCTTGTAATCCCAGCACTTTGGGAGGCTAAAGTGGGTGGGCCACCTGAGGTGAGTTCAAGACCATCCTGGACAACACGGCTAAACCCCATCTCTACTAAAAATTTAAAAAATTAGCCGGTTGTGGTGGCATGCACCTGTAATCCCAGCTACTCAAGCGGCTGCAGCAGAATTGCTTGAAAACCGAAGGTAGAGGATGCAGTGAGCCGAGATTGTCCCACTGCACTCCAGCTTGGGCGACAGAGCAAGAATCCATCTCAAAAAAAAAAAAAAGTAAAATAACTTAAAGCTTTTTTTTTTTTTTTAACTTTAAGCTTTTAATTTACACAAGAAGTTTACCTAAAACATTTATTCCATTCACTGTACTGAGTTTTTTACTTTTAAAAAGGGAGACATGCTGGACACGGTGGCTCACACCTGTAATCCCAGCACTTTGGGAGGCTGAGGCAGGCAGATCACAAGGTCAGGAGTTCGAGACCAGCCCGAACAACATGGTGAAACCCCAGCACTTTGGGAGGCTAAAGTGGGTGGGCCACCTGAGGTGAGTTGAAGACCAGCCTGGACAACATGGCTAAATCCCATCTCTACTAAAAATACAAAAATTAGCCAGTCATGATGGTGGGCACCTATAATCCCAGCTACTCGGGACGCTGAGGCAATAGAATTGCTTGAACCTGGAGGCAGAGGTTGTAGTGAGCCAACATCGTGCCACCGCACTCCAGCTGGCGACAGAGTTAGACTCTCAAAAAAAAAAGTGGGGAGAGACATGAGACATCAATCAACATATGTAAAATGAACATTGGTTAGTCAAGAAAGGCAGGCCAACTGGAAGCAGGGATAGGGGTTGGGGCTGCCAGGTCACAGGTAGGTGTGAGAAGAGGTTACTTTTTTTTTTTTTTTTTTTTTGAGACAGAGTTTCACTCTTGTTACCCAGGCTGGAGTGCAATGGCGGGATCTCGGTTCACCGCAACCTCCGCCTCCTGGGTTCAGGCAATTCTCCTGCCTCAGCCTCCTGAGTAGCTGGGATTACAGGCATGCGCCACCATGCCCAGCTAATTTTTTGTATGTTTAGTAGAGACGGGGTTTCACCATGTTGACCAGGATGGTCTCGTTCTCTTGACCTCATGATCCACCCACCTTGGCCCCGCAAAGTGCTGGGATTACAGGCTTGAGCCACCACGCCCGGCCGAGGTTACATTATTATTTATTTATTTATTTTGTGTGTGTGTGACAGAGTCTCACTCTATCTCCAGTCTTGGCTTACTGCAACCTCTGCCTCCGGGTTCAAGCAATTCTCCTGTGCCAGTCTCCCGAGTAGCTTGGGCTACAGACACCTGCCACCACGCCCTGCTAATTTTTTTGTGTTTTTTGTAGAGATGGTGTTTCACCACATTAGCCAGGATGGTCGCGACTTTCTGACGTTGTGATCTGCCTGCCTCAGCCTCTCAAAGTGCTGGGATTACAGGCATGAGCCACAGGGCTGGCCATTGCATTCTTCTGAGTTTCCTATTAGCCTTTCCAAAGGAAGCAATCAGATATGCATTTATCTCAGTGAGACTTTGAATAGAATGGAAGGCAGGCTCACCTCAAGCAGCTCCCAGCTTGAATTAACACTGACAACTAAAAATATCTAACCGGCTGGGGGACGGTGGCTCCCACCTGTAATCCCAGCACTTTGGGAGGCTGAGGCAGGTGGATCACCTGAGGTCTAGAGTTCAAGACTAGCCTCACCAACATAGAGAAATCCGGTCTCTACTAAAAATACAAAATCAGCCAGGCGTGGTGGTGCATTCTTGTAATCCCAGCTACTTGTGAGGCTGAGGCAGGAGAATCGCTTGAACCCGGGAGGCAGAGGTTGCAGTGAGCCGAGATCACACCATTGCACTCCAGCCTGGGCAACAAGAGTGAAACTCCGTCTCAAATAATAATAATAATAATAATAATAATATCTAGCAGGCCCAGGCGAGTGAAGTGGTTCACACCTGTAATTCTGGTACTTTGGGAGGCCAAGTCGAGCAGATCACGCTAGGTTAGGAGTCCGAGAGCAGCTTGGCCAACATGGTGAAACCCCATTACTACTAAAAATACAAAAGTTAGCTGGGCGTGGTGGTGCATGCCTGTAATCCCAGCTACTTGGCTGAGACAGAATCGCTTGAACCCGGGAGGCGGAGGTTGCAGTCTGAGATCGTGCCACTGCACTCCAGCCTGAGTGACAGAGCAAGACTCAGTCTCAAAAAAAAAAAAAAAAAAAAAAAAGCCTAATGAAGACAAATATAAAATTCAGACAAAATGTATGCTGACAATTCTGAAGGCATTTCTATTTTTCTTCTACCAATAATTTTAAAGCTAGCTTGTTTAGTAAAGTTTTACTTTAAGTTTCGTGAACTTGAAAATTGCTTAAACTTAATTTATGAGTGCTCTTTTACTTACTAGCCAATTTTGGTACAACATATAACAATAAGTGTACATATAAATAAACACACCTAGATGTGTATACACACACAAACGAAGATCTAATAGCTTGGAACCTTAGCCATGAGGGAGCAGTACAACTTTGCCCCAGTAGGTAATCCAATGAAGGTTGTGAACCAAAATTTTGGGTAAAGCAGTCTTTTTTTGTGTGTGTGTGTGCTGGTGAAGTTTATTTACATTAATGTTCTCTTATGTCAATCACATGTAAGCCCTGGACACTAGCTTTTATATACAGAATCCAGTACCTTCCTGGGAGAACTACTTTTTTCCCCGAAACAAAAGAAGACACAATTAGCATGATAACTGGGGATCTTAATGAACATCTTGCTTCACTTTGGGGTCTTATCTGGAATTTCTGAGTAAACTATATCCAGTGGCTGCCAGTGGCAATTCATGAGGGAGTCGTAGAGTTCTTCACTTTTCACTATAAACTCTTGGTTTGATTCCTCAATATTCACATGAAGATGTGGATCTTCTAGTGGGTCTTCATCTTGGTTTTCAGCTAGAGCTGTGGTTTCCTTAGGCATAACCAAAGTTCCAGCTGTGTGTTGAGGGATCTCACGCGCAGAAAAACAGTCCTGTCCATTTCCCTCCACCGCACAGCCGTAGCTGTAGCCAGAAAGAAGGTAAGAGCTGGGCTGTTGCATGTACCAGTTGCCACAGTGGTAACCCTGGATGGGCTGGAACTCCTGCTTCACTCTTTGCCAGAAGCAGTAATAGTCATTTTGTTGAGCTGTGCCAAAACCTGCAAAACTCTCCTGTTCTGCCATTTATCCAGAATGGCAGTTTTATTTCTTCTTTTTTTTTTTTTTTTTTTTTTTTTTTGAGACGGAGTTTCACTCTTGTTACCCAGGCTGGAGTGCAATGGCACGATCTCGGCTCACCGCAACCTCCACCTCCTGGGTTCAAGCAATTCTCCTGCCTCAGCCTCCTGAGTAGCTGGGATTACAGGCACGAGCCACCGCGCCCGGCTATTTCTTTTTTATTTTTGAGACAAAGTCTCACTCTGTCACCCAGGCTGGAGTACAGTGAGGCAACCTCGTCTCACTGCAAACTCTGCCTCCCGGGTTCAATCAATTCTGCCTCAGCCTTGAGAGTAGCTGGGATTACAGGTGCGCACCATCATGTCTGGCTAATTTTTGTATTTGTAGTAGAGATGGGGTTTCACCATGTTGCCCAGGCTGGTCTTGAACTCTTGATGTCAGGTTATCTGCCCACCTGGGCCTCCCAAAGTGCTGGGATTACAGGCATGAGCCACCACGCCCGACCTAATTTTCATATTTTTAGTAGAGATGGGTTTCACCATGTTGGCCAGGTTAGTCTCGAGCTCCTGACCTCAGGCAACTCACCTGCCTTGGCCTCCCAAAGTGCTGGAATTACAGGCATGAGCAACCATGCTGGCAAGCAGTTTGATTTTTTTTTGAAACGGAGTCTCACTCTGTCACCCACACTGGTGGGCAATGGCACAGTCTCAGCTTACTGCAACCTCTGCCTCCCGGGTTCAAGCGATTCTCCTGCCTCAGCCTCCCAAGTAGCTGGGACTGTAGGTGTGTGCCACCACACCTAACTAATTTTTGTATTTTTAGTAGACATGGGGGTTTCACTATGTTGGCTAGGCTGGTCTCGAACTCCTGGCCTTGTCATCTGCCCACCTTGGCCTCCCAAAGTGCTGGGATTACAGGCATGAGCCGCTGGGCCCAGCCAGCAGTTTGCTTTTTAAGGGCCAAATCTCAGACCGGGTGTGGTGGCTGACGCCTTTAATCCCAGAACTTTGGGAGGCCAAGGCAGGTGGATCACCTGAGGTCAGGAGTTGGAGACCAGCCTGACCAATATGGTGAAACCCCAGCTCTACTAAAATACAAAATTAGGCAGGTGTGGGTGGTGGCGGGCACCTGTAATCCCAGCTACTTGGGAGGCTGAGGCAGGAAAATCGCTTGAACCCAGGAGACGGAGGTTGCAGTGAGCCGAGATCCTGCCACTGCACTCCAGCCTGGGCAACAGAGCAAGACTGTCTCAAAAAGAAAAAGAAAGAAAAAAGGGCCAAAGCTTCCCATACTCCACAGAGCCCTGGAGCCAAACACTACCAAAGGAGGGCATCACACGTTAACCAGGCTCCCTGCATATAACTGCAGCACAAAAGCCCGGGTGCATGCAATGCTATTCCATTTTCCCATTCAGCTGCAAACTCCAGATTCCAAACAATGTTGGGGCCAAACAGCTTTGCAAGTGCAAGAGAAAATTCTAAGGAGGGCTTAGTACTAAGATCTCAGAACCTCTGAGGAGAGTGTCCCCTTTGGGCAGGATGAAGTCAGCAGGACTCCAGGAGCGCCCTCCTGTGGGGTCCAATCTTAGAGTATCAGATGTCGCTGACCTTAGGTGGCCGCCACATGCAGGTTTTCACTTCCAGAGCATACTGTGAGCTTTATAAGAATAGCCACGCCAGCTGGGCGAGGTGGCTCACGCCTATAATCCCAGCACTTTGGGAGGCCGAGGCGCGTGGGTCACAAGGTCAAGAGATCGGAACCATCCTGGCCAACATGGTGAAGCCCCGTCTCTACTAAAAATACAAAAACTAGCTGGGTGTGGTGGCACACACCTGTAGTCCCAGCTACTCAGGAGTGTTAGGCAGGAGAATTGCTTGAACCCGAGAGGCAGAGGTTGCAGTGAGCTGAGGTCGCGTCACTGCACTCCAGCCTGGCGCCTGGCGACGAAACAAGACTCTGCCTCAAAAAAAAAAAAAGGTTTAAGTGCCCTGAAACATGTGGGCATTTGCACCAAGCTGATCCCACACCTAGGGATCAGGAACCACATGCGGAAAAGATTAAAAAAAAAAAAAAATACTCCTTCCCCCTTCAGGGAAGGGCAATTATAAACAGTCACTGAGTCCAGGCACAGTGGATCACACTTGTAATACCAGCACTTTGGGAGGCCAAGGTGGGCAGATCAACTGAGGTCCGGGGTTTGAGACCAGCACACGGAGAAACCCTGTCTCTACTGAAAATACACAAAATTAGCCGGGCATCATGGTGCATTCCTGTTGTCCCAGCCACTCGGGAGGCTGAGGCAGGAGAATCGCTTGAACCTGGGAGGCGGAAGTTGCGGTGAGCCGAGATGGCGCCACTGCACTCCACTCTGCAAGAAGATAGAAACTCTGTCTTAAAACAAACAAACAAACAAACAAATGCCCAGGCGTAGTGGCTCCTGCCTGTAATTCCAGCACTTTGGGAGGCTGAAGCAGGTGGATCACTTGACGCCAGGAGCTGGAGACAAGCCTGGCCAACATGGTGAAACCTGTCTTTATTAAAAATAGAAAAAAATTAGCTGGGCGTGGTGGTAAGTGCCTGTAGTCCCAGCTACTCAGGAGGCTGAGGCAGGAGAATTGCTTGAACCCAGGAGGCAGAGGTTGCAGTGAGCTGAGATCCTGCCATGGCCATTGCACTCCAGCCTGGGCAACAAGTGCGAAACTCCGTCTCAAAAAAAAAAAAAAAAAAAAGAAAGCTGGACTGGGAGGATCTCTTGGGGCTAGGAATTCAAGACCAACCTGGAGAATATAGCAAGACCCTGCTTCAAGAAAAATAAAAATAAAAAGAGCTGGACTGAGTTACAGATTTGGAATCAACACAGCAAAATCATGAATGTGAATTTTACTAGGAAGGTTTCAAGTAAAATGATGAAAAAAGGATGACAGCATTGATGGCAGGACATTTAGCTGCCATTTTGGACCTTAGAGGAATGGTGGAACCATAAGTCCAATGAGCCTGGATCCCTAAGGATTTTATGGAGCAGAGCTGTCATACCAGGCCTAGGCCACCAGTCTCTGAGTGCTTTTTTTTTTTTTTTTTATTTTAATAGAGCACGAACAGTCCCCCACTACCACAAACTATCCAGTTGAGTTTCCCACATTAGGGGAAATCACAGGAGTCAGCAAATCCAGAGTGCAATGGATGAGCCTTGCCCTGAGAAAACCACCTTCAGGATCATGGTATCCCCCCTGCCAGGTAAGTACTGAGAGTTTATGAGAAAGAGAAATAATGTACCGTCTTATTAAAGCCACTATTGTTTTGTGTTTTCCTGTTATTTGAAGCCAAATCTATTTTTTTTTTTTTTTGAGAGGGAGTTTCGCTCTTGTTACCCAGGCTGGAGTGCAATGGCATGATCTCGGTTCACCGCAGCCTCCGCCTCCTGGGTTCAGGCAATTCTCCTGCCTCCGCCTCCTGAGTAGCTGGGATTACAGGCACGTGCCACCATGCCCAGCTACTTTTTTGTATTTTTAGTAGAGACGGGGTTTCACCATGTTGACCAGGATGGTCTCGATCTCTTGACCTCGTGATCCACCCGCCTCAGCCTCCCAAAGTGATGGGATTACAGGCTTGAGCCACCGCGCCCGGCCTTTTTTTTTCTTTCTTTTTTTTTTAATAGAGATGGGGTGTCACCATGTTGGCCAGGCTGGTCTCGAACTCCTGATCTCAGGTGATCCACCCACCTTGGCCTCCCAAAGTGCTGTGAGCCACTGTGCCTGGCCTCTTTTTTTTTTTCTTTCTTTTTTTTTTTTTTTTTGAGACGGAGTTTCGCTCTTGTTACCCAGGCTGGAGTGCAATGGCGCGATCTCGGCTCACCGCAACCTCCGCCTCCTGGGTTCAGGCAATTCTCCTGCCTCAGCCTCCTGAGTAGCTGGGATTATAGGCACGCACCACCATGCCCAGCTAATTTTTTGTATTTTTAGTAGAGACGGGGTTTCACCATGTTGACCATGGTTGGTCTCGATCTCTCGACCTCGTGATCCACCCGCCTCGGCCTCCCAAAGTGCTGGGATTACAGGCTTGAGCCACCGCGCCCGGCTCTTTTTTTTTTAAAGGTGGGGTTTCACCGTGTTGGTCAGGCTGGTCTTGAACTCCCAACCTCAGGTGATCTGCCCACCTTGGCCTCCAAAATGCTTGGATTACAGGCTTGAGCCACCACATCCGGCCTCTTTTTTTTTTGTTTTTTTGTTTTGTTTTGTTTTGTTTTGTTTTGTTTTGAGACGGAGTTTCGCTCTTGTTACCCAGGCTGGAGTGCAATGGCACGATCTCGGCTCACCGCAACCTCCGCCTCCTGGGTTCAGGCAATTCTCCTGCCTCAGCCTCCTAAGTAGCTCGGATTACAGGCATGTGCCACCATGCCCAGCTACTTTTTTTTTGTATTTTTAGTAGAGACGGGGTTTCACCATATTGACCAGGACGGTCTCGATCTCTTGACCTCGTAATCCACTCGCCTCGGCCTCCCAAAGTGCTGGGATTACAGGCTTGAGCCACTGCGCCCGGCCCCTGTTTTTTGTTTTTTTTTTAAGACGATATAAGCGATTCTCCTGCCTCAGCCACGCAAGCAGCTGAGACTACAGGTGCTCGCCACCAGCCCAGGTCTTTTTATTAGAGAAGAGGTTTCACCATGTTGGCCAGGCTGGTCTTGAACTCCTAACCTCAGGTGGTCCACTTGCCTTGGCCTCTCAAAGTGCTGGGATTATAGGTGTGAGCCGCCACACCTTGCTTGCCACCCTGACCAGCTAAGCCTAGTCCCTTAGATACACAAAGTGGATCTCAACTCGTAGCCATACTCAAGCAGACATGCTCATCCTCTTATGCAGATACATTTGTACCCTTTTATAATTTTAGAGAAAATATGCTGACCAGTCATATCCTGGTGTTTAACAACTACCTAGCCAATTTGGGAAAAGGGAAGCCTGATTTGTAGCATTTGCCTATGTCCACGGTGTAAATACTCTGATCATGGCCTTGATATGTTGCCCAGAATGGTGTATGGTGGCTATTCACAGGTGCCATCACAGGGTACTACAGCCTTGAACAACTGGGCTTAAGTGATCCTCCTACCTCGGTCTCTCGAGTAGATGGGCCAAAGTCATGCGCCACTGTGCCTGCTTCCAGCACATCACTGAATGCTAACCATTATGGAATCCCTCATTTGCTTTAAGTGACTCATTGGCTTTGTGGCAAGATGGCTAAGAACATGGTCTTTTAATTTTCCTTCCTTTTTTTCTTTCTTTTTTTTTTTTTTTTTTTTTGAGACAGAATTTCACTCTTGTTACCCAGGCTGGAGTGCAATGGCGCGATCTCGGCTCACCGCAACCTCCGCCTCCTGGGCTCAGGCAATTCTCCTGCCTCAGCCTCCTGAGTAGCTGGGATTACAGGCACGCGCCACCATGTCCAGCTAATTTTTGTATTTTTAGTAGAGACGGGGTTTCACCATGTTGATCAGGATGGTCTCGATCTCTCGACCTCGTGATCCACCCGCCTCGGCCTCCCAAAGTGCTGGGATTACAGGCTTGAGCCACGAAGCCCGGCTTTTTTTTTTTTTTTTTTTTTTTTTTTTTTTTTGAGACAGAGTTTCACTCTTGTTACCCAGGCTGGAGTGCAATGGCGCAATCTCGGCTCACCGCAACCTCCACCTTCTGGGTTCAGGCAATTCTCCTGCCTCACCCTCCTGAGTAGCTGGGATTACAGGCACGCACCTAATTTGTTGTATTTTTTAGTAGAGACGGGGTTTCACCATGTTGACCAGGATGGTCTCGATATCTTGACCTTGTGACCCACCTGCCTTGGCCTCCCAAAGTGCTGGGATTACAGGCTTGAGCCACCGTGCCCAGCTCTTTTTTTTTTTTTTTTTTTTTTTCCAGACAGAATTTTGCTCTTGTTGCCCAGGCTGGAGTGCAGTGGCATGATCTCGGCTCACCGAAACCTCCACTTTGAGGGTTCAAGCAATTCTCCTGCTTCAGCCTCCTGAGTAGCTGGGATCACAGGCATGTGCCACCATGCCTGGCTAATTTTGTATTTTTAGTAGAGATGGGTTTCTCCATGTTGGTCAGGCTGATCTTGAACTCCCAACCTCAGGTGATCCGCCAGCCTCAGCTTCCCAAAGTGCTGGGATTACAGACATGAGCCACTGCACCCAGTCTTAATATTCTTTTTTTTTTTTTTTTTTTTTTGAGATGGAGTTTTGCTCTTGTTACCCAGGCTGGAGTGCAATGGCGCGATCTCGGCTCACCACAACCTCCGCCTCCTGGGTTCAGGCAATTCTCCTGCCTCAGCCTCCTGAGTAGCTGGGATTACAGGCACGCGCCACCATGCCCAGCTAATGTTTTGTATTTTTAGTAGAGACGGGGTTTCACCGTGTTGACCAGGATGGTCTCGATCTCTTGACCTCGTGATCCACCCGCCTCAGCCTCCTAAAGTGCTGGGATTACAGGCTTGAGCCACCGCGCCCGGCAATTTTCTTTTGTTTTTTTTTAGACAGGGTCTTGCTATGTCACCCAGGCTGGAATGTAGTAGTGCCATCATAGCTCACTGCAACCTTGAACTCCTGAGCTTAAGGGATCCTCTGACTGCAGCCTTTCAGATAGCTGAGACTACAGATGCATGGCACCGTCCCTGGCTAATTTTTTTAAATTGTCATAGAGACAAGGTCTGGCTTTCTTTCCCAGGCTGGTCTTGATCTCCTGGGCTCAAGCGATCCTCTCACCTTGGCCTCCCTAAGTACTGGGATTACAGGTGTGAGCTGCGGCACTCCGCCTCCAGTTGATTTCTAAGGTTTCTTTCAGCTCTGACATCCTTGGTTTCTATTCCTTTAAATTCCTGGAGCTTTTGGAGTCTGTACACACAATTTAGAGCAAGCCTTTGTTCAGAGGGTGTGTTTTAGTGATTCTCCATGATAGAACTGATTGTCTTGGGGAGAAATTTGAATCTACATTTCTGGGGTCTTGGATGTCTTTGGAGGATGTTGGTGAATCAAAAAAAGTTAGTTTTGAGCTGAACATGGTGGCTCACACCTATTAATATAATCTCAGCCACAGAGCAGAAGTGGGTGGAGTACTGAGGCAGGAAGATCTCAAGCCCAGGAGTTTGAGGCTGCTCTGAGCCATGATCACACCACTGCACTTGTAGCCTAGGCAACAGAGGGAAACCCCCAACTCTAAAAAAAGACATTAGCTTTTTTCCATTTGTACAATGTTCTTACTGTGGGCTTTGTATTGTGCTAGGCATTTTGTAAACATTATCTTCCTTTTTTCATCATGGTGATCTCATTTAAAGCCTTATCATAACCCTTTAAGATAACGATAATATAATAATTGCTATTAACCATGCACTGCACTGCTTTCATGAGGTAGAAAATTAAAAGGCTAAAAAAGCCTACAAGCCGGGCACGGTGGTTCAAGCCTGTAATCCCAGCACTTTGGGAGGCCGAGGCGGGTGGATCACGAGGTCGAGAGATCGAGACCATCCTGGTCAACATGGTGAAACCCCGTCTCTACTAAAAATGCAAAAAATTAGCTGGGCATGGTGGCGCGTGCCTGTAATCCCAGCTACTCAGGAGGCTGAGGCAGGAGAATTGCCTGAACCCAGGAGGCGGAGGTTGCGGTGAGCCGAGATCGCGCCATTGCACTCCAGCCTGGGTAACAAGGGCGAAACTCCATCTCAAAAAAAAAAAAAAAAAAAAAAAAAAGAGGTCAAGAGATCGAGACCATCCTGGTCAACACAGTGAAACGCCGTCTCTACTAAAAATACAAAAAATTAGCTGGGCATGGTGGCACATGCCTGTAGTCCCAGCTACTCAGGAGGCTGAGGCAGGAGAATTGCCTGAACCCAGGAGGCGGAGGTTGCGGTGAGCCGAGATTGCGCCATTGCACTCCAGCCTGGGTAACAAGACCGAAACTCCGTCTCAAAAAAAAAAAAAGAAAGAAAGAAAAGAAAATTTAAAATAGGCTGGGTGGCAGGGCAAGACTGTCTCAAAAAAAAAAAAAAAAAAAAAAAACCAGGAATTTGGTTTGGTTAGTAGAATGCCTTGAGCCACAGTCCCACCCCTCCCATGGTCTTACACTCTGCATTTTGCTCACTGCCAGCCCTTGGGCAAATCTCCTTGCCACTCTCTCCCTGATTTGATTTGATTTCTTAATTTTGGTTTTAGGTAATTTAGTAGGATAACTTACAGACAGAAGGGTGGTCTTAGGCAGCCGCAAGATGGGTAGCTCTCCACACAACAACCCCCTGGACTCAGGGCTTGTATGCTGGGGAAAATATAAGTGCTCTGGAAAGAATGTGTGGATGTTTACAAGCTTCACGGTCTGTGATTTCTGCAACAGCATCAAGGGTTGTTTTGGAGGAAACTTGCAGTGAATAAGTGTTCCTACAGAAAGCGTAGTACATCAGATAGACACTTTGGAGGCACTTCTGGGTAAATCAGAAATCACAGGTCAGATTAGGATTTAAAATAGCCGGGCGCGGTGGCTCAAGCCTGTAATCCCAGCACTTTGGGAGGCCGAGGCGGGTGGATCACAAGGTCAAGAGATCGAGACCATCCTGGTCAACATGGTGAAACCCCGTCTCTACTAAAAATACAAAAAATTAGCTGGGCATGGTGGCAGGTGCCTGTAATCCCAGCTGCTCGGGAGGCTGAGGCAGGAGAATTGCCTGAACCCAGGAGGCGGAGGTTGCGGTGAGCCGAGATCATGCCATTGCACTCCAGCCTGGGTAACAAGAGTGAAACTCCGTCTCAAAAAAAAAAAAAAAAAAGGATTTAAAATAAAGTCCCTCTTGTGACCACACACCACTCATCTAATCCAGCTCATACAATCTCATGCATGCACCTCTTCCACGATGGTCCCTCAGCCTGCAGAGAAGGGAGTGCTGCAGTCATTCCCACGGCATGAGTGGACGGGTTGCATTAACTTGTTTTATACCTGTTAGCAGAGGCCATACCACCAATACACACAATGAAACCTGGCCAAGTGACTTTAGGAGCTTTACAGCTGGTCCTGCACCTTGTGTCTTTTGTGGGTTGATGGCCCATCCTGTGGATTAGAGAAGAGTACACAAGGGATCAAGGTGTTACTTTCCCGGCTTCTGGGGTGTCCTGCTGTCTTAGCTATGGATCTCCCAGTATATGCAGGTCACTGGGTGACAGAAGCTGCAGCACAGTTACCTGGGCCTCCCAGAGCAGAGGACAAGAAGCAGGACCGTGCTCTGACAGGGGCAAGAAACCCACTCCCTGATTTTTTTTTTTTTTTTTTTTTTTTTTTTTTTTTTTTTTTTTGGAGAGGGAGTCTTGCTCTGTTGCCCAGGCTGGAGTACAATGGTGCAATCTCAGCTCACTGCAACGTCTGCCTCCCAGGTTCAGGCAATTCTCCCACCTCAGCCTCCAGAGTAGCTGGGATTACAGGCACTCCCCATCACGCCTGGCTAATTTTTTTTTAACTTTTGTACGAGGTTTCACCATGTTGGCCCAGCTGGTCTCAAACTCCTGACCTCAGGAATTTGATCCACCTGCCTTGGCCTCCCAAAGTGCTGGGATTATAGGCGTGAGCCACTGCACCTGGCTGAGACCTTTTTTTTTTTTTTCATCTCAGAATGGTAATGTAGCAACACTGTAAGAAGGCTCAAGGGTGGCACATCTCTCACATGCCCGTGAATACCCAGTCTTCCCACTCATGCACTACAAAAGGATCAGATCTTTTCTCTACACACAATTTTTTTTTTTTTTTTTATTAGCTAGGTGTGGTGGCACATGCTTGTAGTCCCAACTACTCCCAGCTTCTCGGGAGGGTGAAGTGGCAAGACTGCTTGAGCCCAGGAGCTGGGGGTTGCAGTGAGTTATGACTGCAGCACTGTACTCCAGCATGGGGATCACAGCAAGACTCTGTCCTAGAAAAACTAACAAACAAAACCACAAAAAAACTAGAAGTCTTTGTCACCAGACTTTAAGCTCTTTGGAGGCAAGGATTGTGTCTACTTTCTTATTTATTTATTTATTTATTTATTTTGAGATGGAGTTTCGCTCTTGTTACCCAGGCTGGAGTGCAATGGCGCGATCTCGGCTCACCGCAACCTCCGCCTCCTGGGTTCAGGCAATTCTGCCTCAGCCTCCTGAGTAGCTGGGATTATAGGCACGTGCCACCATGCCCAGCTAATTTTTTTTGTATTTTTAGTAGAGACAGGGTTTCACCATGTTGACCAGGATGGTCCTGATCTCTTGACCTTGTGATCCACCCGCCTCGGCCTCCCAAAGTGCTGGGATTACAGGCTTGAGCCACCGCACCCGGCCTCTTTCTCTTTTTATCATACTTTAAGTTCTGGGGAACATGCGCAGAGCGCGCAGGTCTGTTACGCAGGTTTACATGTGCATTGGTAGTTTGCCGCATCCATCACCGAACCACCTACATTAGGTATCTCTAATGCTATCCCTCCTCTATCTTCCCACCCCCTGCTATTTCTCCCCAGCCCCCCACCCCCTGACAGGCCCCAATGTGTGATGTTCCCCTCCCTGTGTCCATGTGTTTTCATTGTTCAACATCCACTTATGAGTGAGAACACGCAGTGTTTGGTTTTCTGTTCTTGTATCAGTTTGCTGAGAATGATGGTTTCCAGCTTTATCCATGTCCCTGCAAAGGACATGAACTCATCCTTTTTTATGGCTGCATAGTATTCCATGGTGTATATGTGCCACCTTTTCTTTCTTTCTTTTTGAGATAGAGTCTTGCTCTGTCACCCAGGCTGGAATGCAATGGCACAATCTCGGCTCACTCACTGCAACCTCTGCCTCCCGGGTTCAAGCCATTCTCCTGCCTCAGCCTCTCCAGTAGCTGGGACTATAGGCATGTGACATCATGCCGAGCTAATTTGGTATTTTTAGTGGAGATGGTGTTTCTCCATGTTGGTTAGGCTGGTCTTGAACTCCTGACCTTATGATCTGCCTGCCTCTGCCTCCCAAAGTGCTGGGATTACAGGCATGAACCACCTCGCCCAGCCTACATTTTCTTTATCTGGTCTATCATTAACGGGCATTTGGGTTGCTTCCAAGTCTTTGCTATTGTGAATAGTGCTGCAATAAACATATGTGTGCATGTGTCTTTATAGTAGAATGATTTATAATCCTTTGGGTATATATCCAGTAATGGGTTGCTGGGTCCAATGGTGTTTCTAGTTCTAGATCCTTGAGGAATCACCACACTGTCTTCCACAGTGATTGAACTAATTCACACTCCCACCAACAGAGTGAAAGCGTTCCTATTTCTCCACATCCCCTCCAGCATCTGTTGTCTCCTGATTTTTTAATGATGGCCATTTGAACTGGCAGACTGTGTCCGTTTTCTTCACTGCTGAGTATACCGTGTTGAACACAGCTCTGCCAATATCTACTTTCCAATAAGTGTTGGTAGAGTAAGTAGATGAGTTAACAGATGCAAATAAAAACCATGTTTCCTTTTTTTTTTTTTTTTTGAAAACAAAGTCTCACTCTGCCGCCGGGCGCGGTGGCTCAAGCCTGTAATCCCAGCACTTTGGGAGGCCGAGGCGGGTGGATCACGAGGTTGAGAGATCGAGACCATCCTGGTCAACATGGTGAAACCCCGTCTCTACTAAAAAAATACAAAAAATTAGCTGGGCATGGTGGCGCGTACCTGTAATCCCAGCTACTCAGGAGGCTGAGGCAGGAGAATTGCCTGAACCCAGGAGGCAGAGGTTGCAGTGAGCCGAGATTGCACCATTGCACTCCAGCCTGGGTAACAAGAGCGAAACTCCGTCTCAAAAAAAAAAAAAAGTCTCACTCTGTCACCAGGCTAGATAGAGCACAGTGGTGCAATCTTGGCTCACTACAACCTTTGCCTCCTAGGTTCAAGCAATTCTTGCGCTTCAGCCTCCTGAGTAGCTGGGATTACAGGTGTGTGCCAACATGCCTGACTTTTTTTTTTTTTTTTTTTTTTTTGGTATTTTTAGTAGGGACAGGGTTTCATCACATTGGCCAGGATGGTCTCGAACTCCTGACCTCAAATGATCCACCCACCTCAGCCTTCCAAAGTGCTGGGATTACAGGCGGTGAGTCACCCCGCCCGGCCATATTTTCTTTTTCTTTTCCTTTCTTTTTTGACAGAGTCTTACTCTGTTACCTAGGCTAGAGTGCAGTGGCGCAATCTCAGCTCACTGCGACCTCCGCCTCCTGGGTCAAAGTGATGCCTCCTGGGTCAAAGTGATTTTTCTGCCTCAGCCTCTGGAGTAGCGGGGACTACAAGTGCCTGCCATCATGACCAGTTAATTTTTGTACATTTAGTAGAGATGGGATTTTGCCATGTTGGCCATGCTGGTCTCAAACTCCTGACCTCAGATGATCCGCCTACCTCGGCCTCCCAAAGCGCTGGTATGACAGGCTAGCACTACCGAACTCATTCCTTTTTTTTATTTTATTCTAAAAATGGGGTCTCAGGCTGGCACGATGGATCATGCCTGAGATCATGCCATTGCACTCCAGCCTGGACAACAGAGTGAGACTCCATTTCAAAAAAAAAAAAAAAAAAAAAAAAGACGAGGGTCTCACTATGTTACCCAGCTGGTCTTGAACCCCTAGGGTTAAGCAATCCTCCAGCCTCAGCCTCCCAGAGTACTGGGATTACAGGCATATGCCACCATGCCTAGACCATATTTCTTTTCCATTGGGTGGTGCCAGCACATACAGAGATACACAAAGACAAACGTGCCCTGTTAGTGCTCAGTAGTCATTTGAATAAATTTTCACAATGGGCTCAACTTGTCTCAGCATAGACTTTATTGGTTTGGCTTTTCTTAGCTACTCCGGAGTGGGGCTGAGGCAGGAGCTAAGTGAAGGGCAGAATCCATTCCTGAGCTGGGTGTGGTCAGAGTCACCGAGACCTGGGAGAGTGGGGAAAGGAGAAGTGGTAGAAAGGAAGGTTGTTATGGCCTTGGAGTCAGCCAAGCACATTTCTCCTGGTACTCAGCCATTGTTGAATCCCTCCTACCTTTAAATCACCTTTTAAAAAATTTTTATTTTTATCATTTTACTTAGGTTTTTTTGTTTGTTTTTTTTTCTTTTTTTTTTTTTTTTTTTTGCATTTTCACCATGTTGGCCAGGCTGGTCTTGAACTCTTTACCTCAAGTGATCCGCCCACCTCAGCCTCCCAAAGTACTGGGATCACAGGCGTGAGTCACCATGCCCAGCCAGTTTACTTAGTTTTGTTTTTTTTTTTTTTTTTTTTTGAGACGGAGTTTTGCTCCTGTTACCCAGGCTGGAGTGCAATGGCGTGATCTCGGCTCACCGCAACCTCCGCCTCCTGGGTTCAGGCAATTCTCCTGCCTCAGCCTCCTGAGTAGCTGGGATTACAGGCACGTGCCACCATGCCCAGCTACTTTTTTGTATTTTTAGTAGAGACGGGGTTTCACCATGTTGAACAGGATGGTCTCGATCTCTTGACCTCGTGATCCACCCGCCTCGGCCTCCCAAAGTGCTGGGATTACAGGCTTGAGCCACCGCGCCCGGCTACTTAGTTTTTAAGAGACAGTCTCACTGTGGTGCCCAAGCTGGAGTGCAGTGACTATTTACAGGTGTAATCATAGATCACTGCAGTCTAGAACTCCTGGCCTCAAGCAAATGCTCCCATCTCTGCCCTGTCAAATTACCATTTTAATGATAAGTAATCAAAATAATTTACAAAAGTACAGAGACTGTTATCTACCTCCCTAAAGAGATTTTTGCACACTGTCTCCTCGCTGATTTGCTCACACTCCTGTCCCTTCTTCCCTTCCTGAGATTCCTGTCCCAGATTTGCCCCCTCAGTTTCTCCCCAGCTGCTCAGCATCAAAGTCTAAAGTGTTTTGGCTTCCATGCCTCCTGTCTGCATCATGAGATTCCTGTCTCACCCTTTAGTTGGACAGGTCTCTTCAAAACATTTAGTCCCTCAATTCTGGGACATAAGGAATGGACTGAAGAATTTTCTAGCTGGTGAGGTAGATTCAAGAGACCACTGAAGCCAGCAGTGGCTACAGAGAAAGGCAACATGGCTCCCACCACCAGGAAGGTGCCATGGCCCAATAGTACAGAGAAAGAACAGGATGGGGCTCGCTCGGTGGATAGGGACAGGCAGAACACAGGATGGGCTCACTCGCTGGGTAGGGACGGGCAGAACACAGGATGGGCTTGCTCACTGGGTAGGGACAGGCAGGGGAGAAGAGAGCAGCACCTCGCAGGAAGAGTGAGGAAGAACAAATAGTCATCAGAGCTGCTAACCTTGCTGAACTCTTACTACTCCTCAAATGTGGCCCTCAGGTCTCCGCTTGACTTGTCTTTTTTGTTGTTGTTTTTTTTCTTCTTTGTATTTTTCCACTTGCATTCTCTTATTTAAAGCTCACAACAATCCCTTGAAATGATTCTATACCTCTGATTTTAATGAAAACACTGGGGTTCAGAAAGACTAGTAATCAGCCAGCACATGGAGGGGCAAAGATCTGAAGCCATGTCTATTACCGAAGCTCAAGTTAGAACCGCTGTACGGCACCACGCTCCCCTACCTGAGCCTGCAGAGGTTTGTCTGATCCACCAAGCAGGCCAACAGCTCTTGAATCAGCAAGTCCCGAAGCAAATCTTCATTGCTGGGGTTCTTGGGTGTGGACCTGCAAAGGATCAGCCTCTGGCTGACTATTTTAGCCTGGGCCTCACCCAGA